TCGGCTGTCAGCTACCGGATTAACCTACTATTTTATGGGCAACTCATTTAAATATGAATAGTACCTGCCACTATTTCATTCATATCATATAGATGGTGATAAAATAGTAGGTTTAATACGGTAGCTGACAGCTGAATGTTGCATTCGTGAATACAAGCTAAGTCTAGTTTGTCAAGTGATGTAAATTATCTTCATAATGACATTACATTTTTGAAAGCTCCGAGCTTGTGTCAATGTCATTGATTTTTATCATTTCATGTGATGCAACTAGATTTACTGTAAAACATGTGAAATTTATGAATGCATTTGTTAAGAACCTGAATATGTTTTTGTATTGTGTGTCCTGGTCGATTCTCTATTCATGAATTTTACTTTGATAATGAGGCAAACGAATGTATATACGTACATTATCAACAGAAATGCTTTTGATGAACTTGGTCAAGACAAATAGCTATAGCTTGTACCATTCATCTTGTGCGAGAACCCAACCTCTATGAAAAATTTTTGTTCTGTATTTTGACGGAAATGCTTCATGTAGCTGGGAGAAGACAGAAAACGTACATTTTCTGCTTTCAGTCAGAAAATATTTTTGTTAAGATGTTTCGAAAGGATAAAAGTGCTTGTGAGTGGTTGTGATGGTAATGACTGCCTTCAAGATGTACACCCCCAATCCGCAACATCATCTTGCGCTGTAAACACTACTGAACAGTGCAGTTCGAGTGCAGCGTAGGGCTATTTATTACGATTAACAGAGGAAATGTGTTGATCTCATTTCATATTGCCCATACCTTTTTTCAGAGAGTAAAAAAGTTTCATGATGCAACAACGATTTGGCAGCTACAAGATTGATTAATTGCACAATGAAATTTAACTAGCTTATGTTGAAAACATTTAATATGCATCTACTGTACATGTTTTTTTAATCAATTGGTTTATTTCATAAATACAAGTACAGTGAATATACAGTGTTGGGGAAATATGTCCTAGCTTCTACATGTATGGAGGGCCCAGTGAACTCCATGATTTCCCCAAATTGTATTTTAAATGGAGGGGGTTGTCTTGAGGAATATAACACATGTAGGTGGCAGACACTAAACGCTGAATACAAATCATTAAAGGAAAACTATACCCTAAAGAGAAACTATTTTGGTATATTACTCCTTTATTAACGGACACATCACTGCTTTTAAAGGATAATATGATACATGTTTGTATAAATTGTAAAAGTGTACATATCCATAAACATTGCGATGTAAATGATCTATACAGAACAGTGTGATTTTTTAATGCATCAAATCCATCATGTAAGCTGTTTGTACATTTTTAATTTTTATTTATCAGACACAAATTACAAATAAATATGTATTATATATGAAATATTCAATATATTGCATTGTCAGTTGTTACTAAAAATACTCTCGTAATATCATTCAAAATGAAGCGTTTGATACTCTCAAGTTCAGCGTAAATAGAGGTTATTTACTGGGAGGGATTCAATGAGTTTTATATACCCAATAAACCCACATTTAAATGTAAATGTAAATATACTTTTTATCCCATGATATTCATATCTCTTCATAAAACATTAGTTCAAAATCCATATCTGATTTTTGTATGAAACAAAACCAGACTATATGTTTAGTCTTGAAGTATAAAAAAATTATTGTAAACACATCAACATCGGAAGAATTAACAATCTGTACACATGTCCATCACAAGGTCACGTCGCAAAAAGGTCGCGCATGTGTGTTTTAGGGTGTCTCGTTAATGTTTATTTAATTCTCCGTTATATAAGAAAATATTCTAAAGTAATATATCATTTTAAAGCTACTTTTATGAAGTTTTAAATTAAGTACACTCTTTTCACAATTCTCAAGTCTTTCACAAGTCTTTTTAAAAAAAGAGAGTTATTTATCAAAAAATCTGGCAAATATCCGCCGTCGACACGTTGCATTTTGAATAATTTTTCATCTTTGAACGCTCATAACTCGAACAATATTTGACTATTATAAATTATTTTCGTCTTCGTTATTCACCGGGAAATAATGGGATAAATATTATTAAATGGTTCAATTATGAATGGGAAATCAATTCTTTGGATTATTAACCCTCTATTTCGATTCATGTTTCGATTAACAATGGGAATTAGAGAGTTACCTCAAGAATTGATGGAAATCTAATAGATTTGGTCCAAATTGTAAAACTTCTTTGGATTTTCATATGATATACGTACAGGGCGTTTTATAATGGAGAGGTTAAGCTACCGTATAAAATCCAAAACGCAACTTAAACGTATCAATCGGCCCTATACAAATACATGTAGAGTTCACACATAAATAGCCGTTCAGCTCTAGTGTTTGTTTAGACTACACCATAGCTTGTAATGATTACATAGTATCCCATTGATGAAGTTCAATAGCTTGTTCTCTAATACATATTTTAAACGAGCTCGTTTCGTAAGATTATTGGAGTTAAATCATGCGTAACATACATCATCTTCTTCAGAAAGAATTATACTCTGCATCGAAATCAAAATTGCAAGGATAGTATTCAACAGACATGAGTATAATGATTCCCGTTGATAGCAACGTGAAATTTCTAAATCTCCCGTTCTAAACACGCAACTTTGAAGTTGAACGGGTATCTGAAGTAGACTAAAGCGATACAATCCTATGTTGATTCAATGTACTTTGCGTTTACGTATACGTTTTGAAAACCCGTATTTGCTTAACCTCTCCAATAAATGCCCTCCATCACTGGGGATCAACTTGAAACGAAGACAATGGACGAAGACAAACAAAATTTAGTAACCATATTGTTTTCTCAATTTCCGGTTTCGAAATATGATATCACCTCAGAAATACATACATGGAGACTGGAAGAGTAATTGTTTTGGTATTTACGATTCAAGTCCCTCGTTTAGAACGAAGAATTTACTCTGTCTTCGTTTCATGCTTCATGATATTATGTACAGTCTACGTTTCTCTGAGAAACTGTCTTGGTTTCCTAAGCTAGAGAATGATTTCTAATTATCCAAACAATTACACTATATACAGTATGTATTTCTTAGGTGAAATCCCATTTTGAAACAGAATCTACGCACTACATACCACGTGCCAAATATTTATTTGAAATTTGGAGGATAAAAGCGATTAAATCAAGAAAATTCTAACTACATTATGCTTCGGAAGTCTGACCTTATTGAAACGAAGACAATAGACTAGATGCAAGTAGAAATAATCTTGATTTACGTCATTAGAAATTCACAATTCAGTCAAACTGATATCATATTTGGAATCTACATGTAAAATTACATATAGAAATGAGGTTTTGGAAAGAGTTTATCAACTTAAAAAAACTTAATTTTCTTTGAAAATGTGACTTCTAGGTCGGGGAGATTCCCCATAGACCCCATGTTGTAAAACCACAAAATGTGAAATATCTTTTCTTGTGTTGGGCAGATAATATTTTCTTTGACTGGACATATTTTCATTTGTATAACTATCACATACATAAGGATAATACGAAAAGTGAACCACTAAAACTGATGAATATTCCAGTTTGAGGGAATTTTATAATACCCTGCCATGTTATTTCCCCCGAATCAGCCACCTGGTGGCGAGACGGTTAACTACCTTCTCGCATCTGAGTCTTCGTTTCAAGTTGATCCCCAGTACCCATCAACCGCAAATTCTGGATAGCATACCCTGTCATAATATATAGTCTTAACAATTATGTAAGCATTCATCAGACTGTACCATGTGCTTTTGTTGTTATGATTATTATGTAAATGGGTCACGTGACCAGATATGATGCAACAATAAATCGATACTTAGAAGTCACTGATCTATGAGTTCAGTTCATACCCTATTTGTTATATTTCATATGAAAGCTTTTTTATTTGTAAACTTATTGAAACAGCTCAACAGTATTGAAACGTAATTCTTTTATAACTTGTTTCTCTACAATGGAACATGTATATCCAGAACTTCGGTAAAGTCAAAAATATCAAAAAATGAATTTAACCCTAAGACCATGAATATGTGTGTAAAAATGAATTCCATAGATACAATAAACTTGTGTGTAAAAAATAAAAAAAAGAATTTATTTCATAAATACAATAAACTTGTCTCCCAAAAAAATCAAAAACTAATATCATAAACTTGTGTGTCAAAAAATCAAAAAAATGATTAACCCTAACCTACCCGCTGAGGTCACAGGACGCGTACCAGACCCTAATGATACAGGGTCCACTTAGCAGGAATGGCGTTGGCGTACCAGACCCGCCGCTCCTGCCAAAGTGAACTCTGTATCATTAGGGCTTGGTACGCGAACGCCGCTCCTGCCAAGTGGACCCTGTATAATTAGGGTTTGGTACGCGATCGCCTCCCCTGCCAAGTGGACCCTGTATCACTAAGGTCTGGTACGCGATCGCCGGTCCTGCCAAGTGGATCCCGTAATATTATGGTCTGGTACGCGTCCTTTGTCTTCGGCGGGTAGGTCAGGGTTACGTAATCATTAAAAACCCATTCTGGTTTAATAAAATTCTTATTTTTCATTTTTTGACACACAAGTTTATTGTGTTTATGGAAAGGTTTTGCGTTCAAGTTCAAGTATGGGATAAACATCGTTAACCTCGATCTAATCATAACAACCACAAAATATCATTTATTTACACAAACTGGCATATATTTATAGATACAGTAGTTTTATTATAAAACACGTGTTTGTAATTACAATGAAGTTCATACATACATCCAGATTAACCTCCAATGCCGACGTTGTCACAATACGTAAATATACCACAAGATTTGTTTATTTAAGTTATCGACTATAACTTTTATTCCAATTTAATTAAATTAATTGTTGAATTGAACAATCGTCTCTTATTCGAATGCCACCAGTTTTTATAATCAATAATATACAATAGGACAATAATTATTTTTAATAATTAGTTCTTTGGCCATATCAGTTCCAGCAAAGATAAGAGTCAGGATGTTCGACATGACATTTTATCTATTTATTTAAAAATACAGAGTGACACAAAAATGTGGTTCATCTAATTTTGGAACAATTTTCTCAACTGTGGTGGATCTTTCTTATTTTTATTGTTGAAAACAATAAACAATGACATATTTATCTACATATACGTATATTGACTTTCAATGTGGTAGACCGAATTATCAAATAGTCATGTGACGTGATCTGACCAATTACAGTCCATTCTTCTAGTTTGAGATGTGATAAATATATATATATATATAGCATCAAGAACTTATTCATTTAGAGGAATCGCATTTTTATTCTTTGCACGACCTTACATCAAATTGTCTCACCCTGTAGACAATACGTGACTACTAGATTAATCGAATTGTTTGTTTGATTTTATATATACGAATGTTGGAACAAGGATGTGAAAATAATTCACATATTAGCTATCTTATGTACAATAAAATTCATTTAAAATTTATTTACGCTGGCCTAAACGCTAACTCAATCGGGTTGATATGAGAAATTCATGGTTACGGTCGTAGATAGGGATAGCCTAATCAAAACTTCAAATAACAAATTATAGATGTCAGAATCGTAAACCTGTCTTAACTTTTATTCAAATGGATGGCTAAAAGTATCTCAGATAGAACTTTCTGAAGATGTTTTCACATTTTTGTTTCTGATAACACTGTTGCCATTTTCCATTGAGTTATATTTATATACGATAGGCACATTTTTATTCTGTTGTGGGTTACTTTCATACATATGTATGATCTTAGTTTTTTGTTTTCGCAAAAGTTGCCATTTCGATGGACTTAAGGCTTTTGCGCAAATAGTTCGGTTGTTTTTACAAATAGGTGGCGCGCTTCCATTTGTATGCGTGAGTAACGTTCTGATGCTTGTATTGTTCTTCTGTAGAAGGCTAGAACACCTTACGTCATTTCCGTTCGGATGGGCATCACATCCCCCTGTAGAGCTAAGGAAGAAATTCTGAGGAAATCCGCATGATAACAGTTTCGTTATTTGTTTCCTAAACTTAGCACCTGTCGCGCAATAAAGATAAAAGTTGATGGAATGATTGAGATACATGAGGAGATCGGTAATGGTTCGAACGAGGTGGTACTTTATAACTAAATCGGTGTTTGATTTGTCGGTGAACAAATTAATTGCGATCCCAGTGCAAGCGTTTGGGAGAGTGGTGAGAAGGAACGTAAATGAAACAGTCAGCATCATCACTGTAAGGCGAGTATTAGCTTCCTGGCGATGTTTCTTCACTCGTACCTCTGCCTTGTACATGCTCGCACTGCGGGCGATTTGGTTTCGACTAGTCTGCGCGCGAAGAACGGCAGATATGATGAGCAAATTGAGCACCATTATAGCAAAAAACGGGACGAAGGAATAGATCGCAGCGTCCACCCAAGACCAAGCGACGTCGTTGAGGAATTTATACGGCTCGTCTGACTCGCACAACCAGTGAGTTTTGTTGTCTTTGTCGCTGACATGGTGGATGAGTTTAACAGTTACGAAAAACTGAGAGTTAATAGCGAGAATTATAGTGAATATCAGCAGACTTACGAACCTTGCCCGTTTGATATTGCACATGCGGTTTGCCTTTAGAGGATGACAAACAACAATATAGCGTTCTACGGTGACTGCGATGATCAACCAGACGCTGAAATCACTGGATACATATCCAAAAACAACCGTCAATTTACATATCCAGTCGTGATGGTTTCTCAAGTCATTTCCGTTTAACACTCCAATCCATTTGCGTAGTTGTCCGATGTACAACACCACTAAGTCGGTAATTGATAACACCGACAAATAGAAATAGGTAGACTGTGTTGGTAAACGTTTTAATATGATAAACGCAAATATATTTCCAAATGTGCCAATGACCAACAATACTGGTGGTACATATAACATTAATATCTTGCTGATCCTATACGCCGAATGCGGCAGTAGATAGTGATCCAGTTCGTCCGTATTCATCCTGTCAAAAGTAATCCAGCACACTTTCTCTAAGTTTTGATAGAGTTTCACTATTAAATATATCGATGGGCTGAAGAAGTTAAAATGAAATTTCCCGCAATGCGATCTTCGCTAATCTTCGGAATAGCATTTCTTGATCTGTAGAGTCGTTTATATAATCCGATCTAAATTGGCTGTTAAGATTTAGGACTGCAATGATCGTATGGGAGGTTCAGCATTTCCACTTACACGCTTCGAAAGTCTTTTTCAGTAGATATATCAGCTTGGCGATTTCATTCTGAGATAAAAGTTTCTGAACCTTTTAGTATATATTGTTCGATATATCCAGGGACTAAAGGTCTTGTATCAGTTTATCTGACTCCTATGGCACCCGCTTCATTAGCTGTAGAAATGTCCCAAATCGACTCTGTGAATATTTCAGATAACAATTTTGTTATGAAGTCTCGTTATGAAATCTGGCAGACGAACAATCCAATCGACCAATTGCAGTCGGTTCTGGTCGATAACGTAATAAGTAACAATGGTCTCTCGATCAACTCCTATCTTAGCTTCAATTAATTGAAATTCAATAGCACCTGTTGGTAGATGTAATTTCCATCAAATACACATGTTTACATCTCATGTCCCGTAATCTCATAAATCGGTTAACTCGAAAATAAATCTCTACTGGTACCTGAGCTGAATAACTGTATAATTATGAAGGCTGAAGTTCCTTTAACTAGACACTTAGATTTAGAACACTATCTGTCAATCTTTAATTACAAACTTGCTACGGCAAGAGTTACTCCTAACTATTTTTCTATTAAAGAGTACGTGTTCCTCAATGACACTTTTCAGTTATCATCTCACGGGAGCTTTCCCATTTCCTCCTTTATACAAAACCGTAATGGATTTGTTGATCTTGTTTTGCCCGACGATGAGATGATTATGAATCAGTTCTCAGGCTAAGTTGGTCCAGATTCTTTACCTATAATGAAGTAGTCTTAGTCTGTGCTTGAGGGTAAAGTCATTTGTTTCTTCGATAAGATTTGTTCTGACACAGAATCCTATTTTGTTCCGTCTTAGAATTCAATATTCTAATCAATTAATACAATAACTATTATTCAACTAATCTTAAGAGATCGAATGGGCGATAATGGAGTACATTTAATCAGACGGTGTTGCTCATTCCTTACATTTTATTAATTTATTCCAGCTCATTTGTTTGTGATTATCCTCCCGATATACGGATCTATTGCATAAACTTTATCTAAGTTATGCCTTTTAGATTGCTTTTGCCTCTTGTTTGTTTGCTTTTGAAATGATTCCTTTAAAGATAAGTGATTTTCTGCTCTTTTATGCTCCGTGTAATCCTGTGTCAAAGAGGGCATCGATAAAAGTCCAAAAACACAAGAATCAATTTATTGATTAGTTTTTTCAATTATCATCCACCCTTCATATGTTGTAGTGCAGTGCATTTAGCGCTAATATTGTTATCAATTAAAATCCACATTATAATCAGCAACAATTTCAATGAATGTTTACTCATACATGATGTAGATGTAGTCATCTATTGTATTCCTTCAATCCAGGTGATATATCTATGTCAGGCTAATTCAATATCCAATGTTTTCATCCTTCATTAAGCCACTCAGACTTTTGTTCAGCATTAAGTTATCTCAACGCACGGGATCCTGGTATTCTGGTAGCCAGCACTGAAATTATACATTGAGTTGTTATCAGACATGGTGATTATTAATGTTTTTATTATGCACTTACTTAAGGACAAGTCCCATACCAGTGATTAAATACCTTTGGTCAAGTTATCGCAGTCATGATTCCTCTAAAATTTGAATGAGATGTTCAATTTCCTAGGATTTTCACTCGTAGAGAAGAACTATGGTCTTTAGTTCGCATGTGTGTACTTTTCTTGGTAAATATCATTTTGACCATCTATAGATGCTTTACTGACCTTTTGAAACAGGATAAATGTGACATTTTCTTCTTGAGTCTGACGGGTTCATGTCTAGATAATGTTCCATAAATAAACAATAAAAGAAAGTATAAATAAGGATAATAAATTTTATGATTATTTTCTTGAATTAATACAGTCTATATTCAACAATTTATAACGTTTACAACATAATCTTATTTCAACTTGAACGTCGTTAAAATAACATTTACGATTAATGAGGACGCTCTGATGCATTAGAATTATAATTTAAATCACAATTATATACCAGGAAGAAATTAATATATTTGACATTCAATATCAATTAATGCGTACTCATGTTTAATTATAGCATCGATAACAATAGATAACAACTTGTGTTATTTATCTATGCACTAAGTGGCCTAATTCACTGAAATCTCTACAAATAACGTTGTTTTTATAGATACATGTACATTATTTACGTTTTTACACAACTGTGCTGAATCATACAAGTAAATTGCAAACCCAGAACTATTTCGCACAATTCATTTTGCAATTTTCATTTATTCGTTGATTCAACCCCAAATATTCGGATTCATTCAGCAGCATTGATTTCAACGAGAAATTAAACGCGAATCAGCAATAATTCAACGGGCATGGCAAAAGTTTTAAATTTAAAAATTTGAGGCCACCCCTTGCCCGTCACTGTTCAATGGAGATTATACCAACTAAACAACAGTACAATAATTATTTTTAGTGTTAAAATTTAGCCATGTTAACATGGCTAATTGATTCAAAATTAACGATTCACAATCCTAGAATACATCAAGGTCGTATTAGATTATTTGCTCTGTTTCTTAATCTGTTGTATGAATTTAATATATCACGCCATATGGTGTTAATGTTCTGTTTCGTAGAAAACACTATTGTGGATTTTGAGCCTAGATCTCGTCTTTCCAATCACATTTGAGACTGGATGCTCCATCTACCGTCTTCAATTTCCAATTCTTTACTTATTTCGGCACTAGCTGGCCAATTTGATCCATAAATACATCTTAATGTTGAACCTTACAACCAACATGATATCAAAGAATCTTTTTCTATAAAGCCTTTTTACAGCGTTATAACCATGCACTTATATGGACATCCAAAAATGGGTAATGTTGCCCAATTTTCTAAAAAGCATTATCAATATCAATAAAGTTTTTACACCAATCATTTTCTTAAGTTCCAAATTGTTGAAAATGTTATACCCAACAGAACCATTACTTCTATCATTTTAGATATAACCACTGCGTTTGACCATGTAACGCTGCTCCTTCATAAATACAAGGTAATTGGTTTAAGGATATACATATCTTTATATAATCATATCTTACTAACAGGATATTGCTATACGAAATTGAGAATTTCAAATTACTCTAAAACTGATTTCATCTATTGTGGTGTCCCCCAGGGCTCGATACATGGGCAATATTTGTAGAAAATGAATCTCAACAATCAATAGAACCTTGATCAGCTACCACAAAATGAAAAATATATAGGTATCTAGCATTTTTAATTAACATTAAAGTTGAGAGATTCAAGTTTGTTTATATTAGGTACATAATTAATAACTTTTTCATACAAGCAATATAAGGCAGGGAGAGCAATGTTTGATAGAAAAGGTACATCATCATACAGCTAGAGATGCTCTCTTTTAAGATAAAAGAAAATATACGTTACGTATACGTTGGTACGTTATAGTTACCAATACCCTGCTACCTAGTGAACCATTTACCCAAACTTTACTTGTAAGTAAACTTGTGTAGCACCTATACTGCAATTTGATCCATCAATGTATTTCAAGGTATTTTACTGAATGGATACGCTGGTTTGACAGTATGCGATATTGAGGATGATACACCTGTGTGAAGGAAAGTATTACGATTTTATTTTATCTCGAGATTCACGATTTGTAGTTTTATGGCTCTATCCACAGACGGCATGTATGTGTATTTTATCACTGAAATCAATCTGTGAGCTTATGAAGCGAAAATACATATTTACTCAATATCAGAATAGATCAGAATAAATAAATATTATTTACTTATTAGTAAGAATTCAAGTAGTAATACTACTATGCCATTGGTAGCATCGACATGATTGTAATTGTTTTATAAATTTTTAGATAAGATAACAGGAAATGCATGCATAACAGGATATGAAAAAATAACGGGAAATGAATACCTACAGGGTGGACAAATAAAAATGGAACACTCACACATATTCTATTTAGAAGAACAGACGATCCTAAATACCTCTGAGAATGATACAAAATGTCCTATTTTTATTGCCCACTCTGTGTAAGAGAAATGGTAAATATCAACATTTTGTTATTAGAGTTAGACGATAATCCACTGTAGGAATATGTGTAGGATACGATTAGATAAAATGGAACCAATATCCCCCAAAATAGTAAGTTTAAATAGTCTAATAGAAAACAAAGTTGAAATCATCACTAGATCAGTAAATCTGGCAGTTTTGGATAGGTTAATGCTGAAAAATCAGCATTGAGTAAGTGAAGTGATTAGTGATGAGCAATTGTATTGAGATAATATATTGCATTTTGTGCAAAATGGGCCCATATACAATCAAGGAATAAGTGACGTGTATCAATCTTCCCGTTCTTACAATTTCGCTTTGATTATGATTATTCCATGCAATTATGCTGCTATTTCAATGAACTATTTTATGTTTTGGAATTATGCATATATGAAGTTAATGAACTTGCGTTTATGGACATTTTCCCGTGATGTGGTTTTTTCCTGTCTTTTTAACCCTTCTTCTATGTCTATAGAAGAGGATAGTTAGTTATTGGGTATATCAGGGAGTCTATCTCTCCGGTAAGAACGGAACAGGTAATATTGGTCACGGTCTGGTAGTCACATAATACACCACACATAGAAACAATAGAATCACAAGTAAGAGTGATGATTGAAAGGACGATCGTAAATATATTCATGAATTATGGGATATTTGATGAATATGGGATATTTGATTGAGTGATTACGTCATATCGCCTTCTCCTTTGCAGATACCTGATTCCAAATGGAAAACAGCTGATTTTTTGGAAGAAATAAAATTGGAGAATGGTCATATAACTGTCAAATTCTGTGTAAACAAGGAAATACGCGTATGAAGATTAGACACGGTTTATTGAAGCATGCTGGGGTTGGGAAAAACAAAACCGAGTTAC